AACCTCAAGATACTGATGTTTAAGTAACAGTAACTAGCATAATGCACCGTTGCTTTATTCTTAAGTTTTTATAGAAAGTTGCACGGAATACCCGATTTCGAGGATTCAATGGTACCCTGATATCGAGTATTATACGCGATTTCACGGATAATACCCGATTTCGAGTATTCTCTCCGACCTGTTAAATCTCAATGCAAAAGGAACATTCTCAGCAACTGATAATAAGCTTGATAATTATCATCAGGAAATTTTTAAATGAGAGGCAATTAAAAAAAAATTAATTTCAGTATAGACAAAAAAAAACTTACGAGATGCATAACTAGTATTAATTGCCTGCAAAGTTGCGTTGTCTAAAGCTCCCATAAGAATAAAAAGCGGAATTATGTACTGCCACGTCATCGATGTATTTGAGCCAATGTCCGGGGACTAAATAAAATTTACAAGCAGGGGATTCGTATTTTTTATATGTCGATTTTTTTACATTACGGAAAACTGTAACTAGCTTCCGGTTTAAATCCTACGCAAGTGAGTTAAGGCAACAAATAGAAATGTCTATGTAATTGGCTAATTCAAACGCATAAGGGCTGAAATTATTACACAGAAAAAGTTAAAACTTGTTTTCTTATGTAAACTTGGTACCCACGACATACCCTAGTAAGAGCACATTATGACGTCATATCATGGTGTTATTGTCCTATACTACACAAATATATAAGGAACATCAACAAAATAGCCTCGGCGCAAGGGCAAACTCAACTTTGTTCTTCAGAAACTAGGTATTATTAGAGGCAGAATACTACGATGATGTATGATATTGTTTATTTATTATTCAAAAGTTTTCAGTTGCAAAAGGGTAAAAATCACTGTCCTGTGGAATTTTTTTTTTCAATTGAGAAAGCGCCTAGGATTTGTGCAGATATTTTATTCATTTCTATAGCATTTTTCATATTTTACCTTATTTATTAAAAATTATATAGGATAAGCCCTTGCGCCAGTGTCATTTTATTGATGTGTTTTTATTACCTTGAATGGAAGAGAACAATGACGTCATAATATGACGCCATTATGTGGAGTTGCTTTTCAATGTCATATGTACCAGGTATGTATAAGAAAATAGGCTCTAACCTTCTCTGTGTAAAAATTACACAAATTATGCATTTTCAATTGCTCCTTTGCATACAAAAGCCTCTACCTAGCCTTAACTTACTTGCATATGTGAACATCTTAATCACTTCATGATATCTTAAATTTGTTCTGGCAGACATGAACCAACAGGAGGGGGTGGGGGGGGGGTCTTTTTCCCAAAAAAAAACTTTAAGTATTTAAACGTTCATTGAAAGGCTGGTTCCCCCTCACTTTTTACTTAAGTAAAGAGATATAAGGGAAATGAATTTCTATATTGTATGCCAAAAAAATGGGAATTACTATATTGTATGCAAAAAAAATGGTACTGAAAAAAGCCCCCCCCCCCCCTGCAACCTTTACCAAGAAGAATGATTTTCGAGTTTGGTCAGAGTTTCTTTTTTCATTTGACAACTTCTTCAAACGTTTTTTTTTTCTCCCTGACTGCCCCTCCCCCACTTTAAAAAACGAAACTACTTCACGGGCACTACTAAAAGGAGTACCGGTACGCTAAAGCAGCAGGATAGAGAACTTCAAAATTTATTTTCACACAATCTGTATGAATATAATATACACATTATATTTTGATCTCGACTTTGAACAAACCTGCGTTCGATGTTTACGAAAGCTGTGAAATGTACCTGTCACAAATTTCTTTTGCTATTAATGAATATCAAAGGACCCCGCCTTCAAAACACAGCTTCGTGTGTTGTCTGTTGAAATTATTTGATGTTTCTAACGCTTCCGCAAATAATGCAGACATAAGAGAATAAGTTCTTTAATGAAATTAAAATTTTACAAGTAACCAGGAACCGAGAACGTAGAACATTTACTTTCAATATCAGCAAGAAATATACATGCATATACAAATAGCAAACATTGAAATACGTCGATACACAGCAAAATCGTGTAATGCTTTAACTTAGAGAAAGCTATCTATATAGTATAAAAAAAATATCGTTGACTTTAGTTTTGATCGTAAACTATGAATTAAAGTCGTGAAATTTTTAGTTTGTTTAAGTCTAAAGTAATTTCTTGCGAACAAAAAACAGAATATAAAACGTCTATTCCATCAGTTGTACAGCAATGATGTTTGTTAAACTGAAAAGAGCTTATTGAAATTATCCAGGCAGATATTGTGTACTTTAAGGGTTTCAAAAAATCAAATCGCACAAATGTTTCTGGTAAATTGTTGCGTGTAAGACCATATAAATACATAAGTTATATTTCATTTTGAGAGGACTTAGTGCTATTAAGAAAACGGTAAAAGAGAATAGATTAAATTCCGAAAAAAAGCCGGCTTATCCTTCTACAATCAATGTAAATAATCAGAAGCTGTTGGAAAGCTAGTGTTTATGAAAGTAAAATTAATAAATTTCAAAAATTTAATTTAGCGGAAAGTATATAGATTTCCGTGTGTATAGAGATTTTAGTGTGATGAAGATTGAATTGTTTTCATGTTAAAAGATATGAAGAATTTTAAATTATTTGTATTACGAGTACGTCTTCGGCCATAATTGGTACATGTAACCTTTACTAGAAGTTCCTTACCTTTTAATACCCCCTTGTCTTTTAGTCGAAATAAACAACCCAAATGTCGGTGGTGGGTATAAAAAAAATTGCAGACTTAATGTCTTTGATTACCACTGAGCAGTAATAGATATTCAGTTTATCATTTTCCTAACAAGATACAGATTATTCAATGTATTTTTATAATGACACTTTTACCGGTCACGGTAGCCTAATGGTAGAGCGTTCTCTTCGTGATCGGGAGGCCCGGGTTCGATTCTCGTTCGCGGCGCCGCGTCATACCTAAGACGTAAACATAGATATTAACGGTTCTTTAGCCAAGCGCTCGGCACTAGAAGTGAAAGTCAAGGGTCTTTTGGATATGTAGGTCCCGTGTCACCCTAGGCGTTGGCACGATAAAGAGCCCTCACTGCTCAATGGCCCTGAGTGCCGAGTATAGGTTTAAATTTGAAGCCCTTCACCGGCAATTGGTGACGTCTCCATATGAATGAAAAATTCTCGAATGGAACGTTAAACAATACACAATCAATCGATTAATCTATATAATGACAATTTTATATATATTATATTAAATATTGGGTCTTCCATGTTTGGAGACCTTTTGCTGCTTATTTATTATGTTACAACCAACAACGCCTAGCAATAAATATTTCAATATAATTATAACTTGCATTTTTTTGTATTTCCTCTATTTAGATAATATTTCTAAATCTTAGGAGAATACGGACAGAGGGCACGGGCATTTTTTGACAAAAATTCATCTAGTCATGATAAGAGCTTTTCCTTACGATAAACCTTAAAATTTAAGGCTGAAATTAGAATTCAAAACATTGGAATTAAGATATCAGATAAATTCATTTTAAATATATTTTTTGTCTAAATTAACAGCTTTATCACTGCATATATGATTCTAGGAATAATGTTACATGGAAAGATATCTCAATACGTTTCCGCAAAGAAATGTAAACGTCAATGTTTTTCTATTTTTTCATGGCATATAACCCCGTCTTAAATTAATGAATAATAATGAGAATCCATGTGCACTGTGACCCCACCCTAGCCTTTGGTACCGTGATTAATACAATTATGAATTTTTAATGTCATTGTAATATCGATCTGTTTAACAGCAGTTGTGCTTTAAAAAAAGATTTTAAATTTATTATTGTCATTATTAAACTTTGGCTCTGCCATAGCACCGATTTAAAGAAGTTCTGCAGACATCTTTTACTGCAATTGGATGTATAAATCAAAATATAATTGTCGTCATTCGATAAGAAATTACAGAAGCCTCTCCTTTTCCACTACAAAATCTCTCTTCGTACATTACAAAAAGTAATGGGACAATGTGATGATTTAACATTTTCTCCCTTAATATTTCAATGCACAATAAAACCCCAATTATTTTTTTTTTATTAATAATTAATTATTGTTCATTCGAGTAAATTCTTTAAAATTCAAAAAAAAAAAAAATTCAAAGGGTGCAAGTTTCGATAAAGTTTTCAAAGTGTCCAAATTTTCGATAAGGTTTTTCATAGTGCCTACGCTTTTGATAAAGTTTTCAAATTCTCATAGTTTTCGAAAAAGTTTTTCAAATTCTAAAAGTTTTCGCCAAAGTTTATTAAAGTGTTTAATTAAGTTTTTGCGAATTTTATTTTTTTGTGTGTCTAAGTTTCGATAGAGTTTTTAAAGTGTCAAACTTTTAAATAAAGTTTTTCAAAGGGTCAAAGTTTTCATAAAAGTTTTTTCAAAGTGTCAAAGTTTAACTTTAGTTACCTATAGTTTGTTTTATTTGGGATGGACTCTGTCCCTGGGGCCTGATATAAAGGATACTACAAAAAAAAATCCAAATGAAATTCAAGGTCATAAAAAAAATGAATGCAATCTTTCAAAAAAATCTTTACTTCGGACATCAAGCAGCAAAACTAGAAATCAGAATCGAGCCTCTATACCAAATGTGAAATATATGCTCCAGTGATTTTAGTTTATGAGCGAGCTTTCTTAATGTTTTAGTATAAATGCATGAATTCTTTTAAAATCTTCTTCTCTGCTCCAGTGTCTTAAACTAATGTTCTATGTACTGGTACATAGTTAGAATCAGGAAGGGGGCCTCTTCCAGACCGTGAATTCCATAGCCTCTTGGTCTGTGATTCTGGTGTTAGGGCGGCGCTATTATTATTATACAGGATTGCCTATGATAGAGTTTCAAAAAAATTATTAACTAATCAGTGCTTCATTAACAAAGATTACATTGAAGTCATTTTTGGGACACATATTTAATAAAATAAACTTCAGATAATAAGAATATCATTAGATACTGTAGTGGAAAGATGCATTAAAATAGAACGACACATATTTTTGGGATGAATAGGAAGAGGGGTCTATATCATTGTACAGAAGTACTGCATGACCTAAGATACACACGGATGTATTAAGAAGAAGTTTCCTGTTTGTCCAGAAATTGTCATGATGGAGACACAGGAATAAGGAAGTGTATCTGTATGTTTTTTCTTCCGTAACTTAGTGACCTCTAGCATTTTACAATTCTGAGAATTTCATTGAAATTTTCATATTTTTAAAAGGAATATTTTGATTAATGGGCAAATAAGACGTTTATTCAACACTATATGCAACGGATAGAATTTGATTACATGCAAAGTCTCCATCAAACAAATCTGTCGACTGATAAGACAGCTTACAATGTAACAACTTGACAACAATGCACAGTTTTTTTTTTGTTTTTTTTTTTTTTAAATATATAGATGTAAATGAACTATGTAAATTTAAATTATTATACGAAATCAATCATAACGGCTAAAAATGTAAAAAAAAAAAAAAAAAAAAAAAAGACATATATTGATAAAAGGTTAATAATTTGAATTTCATGCAGTGGCAAGGGTTGCTGGTTAAAGTTTTTCTCTCCCGTTTTCTAAATATTTTACAAAAAGCCCCCGTTTTCTAAGGTGATTCATATGTTATAGGATGCGTCTTAGGTAATCCTTCCGATACTTTGCTATTAGAATTTTAAAAACTCTCAATATTCCCAGCAAGACATATATATTGAATGTATGTGATTTTATAATACATTTACTCAGATGAGTATAGGCATTTTATTTTTTCTTTATCGGAAATTATTACTCAATTTATTTTCAAAGCTAAGAACCAATAAAACTTTTTACTTTTTTCATGATTATTATACCGTTGAGTTGATGGCGCTTTTTATTCACGACTTTTTCCAATAGAGTAAGATGTTGTAATTGACCGTATTATCACATTTGTGTGTTGTAACTAGCTTTTATATGAGTAAGCAGAGGGTTAATGAACCTTAAAGAAAATCGATTTTTCCCTTCTATTAACAGATGATTTACACGTAAACGGACCGTGAGTTTTGATTGAAAATGATTTTTTTAAGTAGTAAGGGGTGGGGGTAAGATTGGGGGTAAGACTGGGAAAAATGTACAATAATACAAAAATAAATCAAATTAAATGTCACGTGTATATCCATTTTCATGTCATTTTTTAGTAACTGAAATTCAACAGTTATTTTACAAATACTTTTTTTCAGAAATAACAAATTCAAAATAATTGAAAGTAAGATCCGTAGATAATTTACACTGATAAACGAAACTCCGACAATCATACGTCGTGTAAATGTACATTCGTCTATATCATGTAAATATTTATGTAAGTACTGAAAATTATTTATTATATTATTTGTAAAAACAATTGCATATTTATAAAAACATTCCAATAAAACTTTCCGATAACACAATCATGAACAATTAAACTCCCAAACGATTGAGTTTGATACACGCATGATCTCGCACGTAACACAAACGATCACGCACGTTACACGAACGATTCTACGCGATTGGTTTGTCAACGTTAGCGTTGTATGAGTGAACAATTTTCGAATGGGACTTTAAACAATATATAATCAATGTCTTCCTTCCAGTTGATATGGTGATTCCTTAACGCAAGTAAACAAAAACAAGATATGTTTCTGAAACACTGATTCCCCCGTATGGCAACATAGCGAAGGTAAAGCTTTCTCAAATGCATATCAAATATGTTGGTACCTAAAGTTAGACCTTATCACAAGAAATACAAATGTGAAATATAAAACACTAGCAGCACCTGTTCAAGGGTTATGAACAGGGATATCATTTTTAACGGTAGAACAAACACCGGGGTCAGGGTCAAAGGGTTAAGGATGAGGTCAAATGGACAAGGTTCTTGATATCTAATGAAAGGTTTTGTTACAAGGCCTATATATGTGAAGAGTATGGAGATATCGAACGGTATTCATTCTCAAAGTCCATTAAACAATATACAAAAAAGGAGCAGAGCAAACACGGACCTCCGAAACATCAGAGGTGGGATCAGGTGCCATGGAGGAGTGACCATCCCCTGCCGACCCGCCGTGTGCTCGTTATCATGATCAGGAAATAACGGAAAAAATCAGTCGTCATTTCAGTGTATGAATACTGGACTAACAATTGGCATGACAAACGTCAGTCAGCATTTGAATATAAAAGCCCTAGCCCTTACTGTTCAAATGGTATGACCAAGGTTAAGATTTTTCGTAAGTACAGAAATCTTCAAGGTCTAAAGCTCAAAAACGTTGGTTTCAAATGAAAGGTCTTGCCAAATACAACTGATATTTGAAACATGAAATTCCTTGTATCTACCGTTTAAAAATCAAAACTAAAGTAAAAATTTGGAATTTTGTGTAATAGTGATTCAAACTCCAAGGTCAAAGTCAAGAGTCAAGGTTCGTGATATCAAGTGAAAGGTCTTGTCACAAGGATTAAATCTGAGTATGAAAGCCCTAGTTTTAACTTCTCAAAAAAAATTGTTTATGTTTGTATTTTTAAAGTAGGTCAATTTCCAAGGTAAAGGTTAAAGGGTTAATGAAGTTGGTATCCAATAAAGAGAATTTTTACATGTATAACATATGTGAAGAATGAAAGCTTTAGCACTAACAATTCAAAATTTATAGCCAAGGTTAACGTTTTTTTATAAGTTAAAAAATATCCAAGGTCAAAAGGTCAGAGTAAGTAAAATATAATGAAAGGACTTTCCATAGAGAATAAATATTTGAAGTATATATGTCCTGGTATCTACTGTTCAAAATATATGACCAAAGTAATAGTGTGGAATTTTTGTCAAAAAGTTTGTAGAACTCCAAGGTCAAGGTCAAAAATTCAAATTTGGTGCTACCCCAAAAAGGTCTTGTCACAAGGAATACACACGTGAAATATAAATTTCATAGCTCCGCTAAATCAAAAGTTTTGGGCAAGGTTAAAGTTTTTTCGGACAAACAGACAAATAGACAGAGAGACAGACAGACAGCTAGACAGATAGTCGGACGGACACGGCAAAAATTATATACCCCCAAAAGTTCGTTAACGGGGGCTGAAAACTAAATAAAAATTTACCCATCTGAAGTTCACTTCTTCATATTATTATTATTATATATATAGTGTCAAAATTTGTCTAGTGACCGATCTAGGAGCAAACATCAATGTAATGAAAAATAGAGTGGGTTTTGGATATTTTTCCTAGCTTATATCATTTCGGTTCATTTTCTTTCTGTCAATAAAGAACTGACCCACATCTGACATGAATCAACTAAATTGAAATGATTCAACTGCATCAACAACGTTATTATGATAAATGTTTTCTTTTGTTTTTTGAATAAAAAAAATATTCACACAGCTTTCTAAAGTTCAAGTTTAAAAACATGTGCAACGTACAAAGTTCATTGGGCATGGTTGCTTTAACCAAAAAAGCTCTTAAAAATAATGCAAAATTAATTTCACGCCATATTCAATTTTAGCGATTTTGGCATTAACTAATTTAAATTTAGAAAAAAATAAATCCTCGCTAAAATCTCTACTAATACGGTATAAATGTTTGTTTGTTTGTTTTTTTTTTTTTTTTTTTTTTGTTTTTTTTTTTTTTTTTTTTTTTTTTTTTTTTTTTTTTTTTTTTTTTTTTTTTTGTTTTGTTTTTTTTTTTTTTGTTTGTTTTTGTTTTTGTTTTTTATTTTTGTTTTTTTTGTTTTTTTTTTTGTTTTGGTAAAATTTTCATTAAACTATGAACATGCAATTGATATTTTATACTTTTATATAGGATTTTATCATATACAGCACTGTAAACTAAAGGACCCACGTACGCAATGTCTAACAAAAATGGTATGTATTCCCTATAAGAACTCTTTTATATGAGTGTGATTTTTTTCTTCATAAGATATTTCCTATCTCAGATAATAATAATAAATTCCTGAAATATCAAGAAATCGTAGGTTTTCCTTGGTGCTTAGATATGAGATTTTGTTTGCTTTCTGTATAATTCCATACAAAATTTTGCACAATTTTTTAACCGTATGACAAAATGTTATATAATTCTCCCAATCTACTTGGTAAACATTATTCAGGTTATCAATTTAAATGTAGATCTATTAGAAATAATGCTGATTTCTAAAAAAAAACTTTGTGTTATTTATCCTTAATTTAATAAAAATTAATTATTGTTCATTCGATTAAATTTTTAAACATTCTTAAAAAAAATTCAAAGTGTCCAGGTTTCGATAAAGTTTTCAAAGTGTGCAAATTTTTGATAAGGTTTTCCAAATTGTAAAAGTTTTCGCCAAAGTTTAACAAAGTGTCAAAGGTTTTGCCAAAGTTTATGAAAGTGTTGAAGTTTTTGCTAACATTTTTTCAAAGTGTCTAAGCTTCGATAAAGTTTTTAAAGTGTCAAAGTTTTAAATAAAGTTTTCAAAGGGTCAAAGTTTTTACAAAAGTTTTTCAAAGTGTCAAAGTTCTCTATCGTTAACTAAAGTTTGTTTTATTTGGGATGGCCTCTGCCCCTGGGGCCTGATCTGAAGGATACTACAAAAAAATCAAAATGAAATTCAAGGTCATAAACAAAATGAATGCAATCTGTAAAAAAAAGATCTTCTTTAATTCGAAAATCAAGCAGCTAAAATGGAAATCAGATCTGAGCCTCTATACCAAATGTGAAATATATGCTCCAGTGATTTTAGTTTATGAGCGAGCTTTCTTAATGTTTTAGTATAAATGCATGAATTCCTTTAAAATCTTCTTCTCTGCCCCAGTGTCTTAAACTAATGTTCTATGTACTGGTACATAGTTAGAATCAGGAAGGGGGCCTCTTCCAGACCGTGATTTCCATAGCCTCTTGGTCTGTGATTCTGGTGTTAGGGCGGCGCTATTATTATTATACAGGATTGCCTATGATAGAGTTTCAAAAAAATTATTAACTAATCAGTGCTTCATTAACAAAGATTACATTGAAGTCATTTTTGAGACACATATTTAATAAAATAAAATTCAGATAATAAGAATATCATTAGATATTGTAGTGGAAAGATGCATTAAAATAGAACGACACATATTTTTGGGATGAATAGGAAGAGGGGTCTATATCATTGTACAGAAATACTGCATGACCTTAGATACACAAGGATGTATTAAGAAGAAGTTTCCTGTTTGTCCAGAAACTGTCATGATGGAGACACAGGAATAAGGAAGTGTATCTGTAAGTTTTTTCTCCCGTAACTTAGTGACCTCTAGCATTTTACAATTCTGAGAATTTCATTGAAATTTTCATATTTTTTAAAGGAATATTTTGATTAATGGGCAAATAAGACGTTTATTCAACACTATATGCAACGGATAGAATTTGATTACATGCAAGTCTCCATCAAACAAATCTGTCGACTGATAAGACAGCTTACAATGTAACAACTTGACAACAATGCACAGTTGTTTTTTTTTTTTAATATATAGATATAAATGAACTATGTAATTTTAAATTATTATACGAAATCAAATATAACGGCTAAAAATGTAAAAAAAAAAAAAAAAAAAAAAAAGACATATATTGATAAAAGGTTAATAATTTGAATTTCATGCAGTGGCAAGGGTTGCTGGTTAAAGTTTTTCTCTCCCGTTTTCTAAGTATTTTACAAAAAGCCCCCGTTTTCTAAGGTGATTCATATGTTATAGGATGCGTCTTAGGTAATCCTTCCGATACTTTGCTATTAGAATTTTAAAAACTCTCAATATTCCCAGCAAGACAAAAACAAAAAACAAAAACAAGATATGTTTCTGAAACACTGATTCCCCCGTATGGCAATATAGCGAAGGTAAAGCTTTCTCAAATGCATATCAAATATGTTGGTACCTAAAGTTAGACCTTTTCACAAGAAATAGAAATGTGAAATATAAAACACTAGCAGCACCTGTTCAAGGGTTATGAACGGGGATATCATTTTTAACGGTAGAACAAACACCGGGGTCAAGGTCAAAAGGTTAAGGATGAGGTCAAATGGACAAGGTTCTTGATATCTAATGAAAGGTTTTGTTACAAGGCCTATATATGTGAAGAGTATGGAGATATCGAACGGTATTCATTCTCAAAGTCTATTAAACAATATACAAAAAAGGAGCAGAGCAAACACGGACCTCCGAAACATCAGAGGTGGGATCAGGTGCCATGGAGGAGTGACCATCCCCTGCCGACCCGCCGTGTGCTCATTATTATGATCAGGAAATAACGGAAAAAATCAGTCGTCATTTCAGTGTATGAATACTGGACTAACAATTGGCATGACAAACGTCAGTCAGCATTTGAATATAAAAGCCCTAGCCCTTACTTTTCAAATGGTATGACCAAAGTTTAGTTTTTTCGTAAGTACAGAAATCTTCAAGGTCTAAAGCTCAAAAACGTTGGTTTCAAATGAAAGGTCTTGCCAAAAACAACTGATATTTGAAACATGAAATTCCTTGTATCTACCGTTTAAAAATCAAAACTAAAGTAAAAGTTTGGAATTTTGTGTAATAGTGAGTCAAACTCCAAGGTCAAAGTCAAGAGTCAAGGTTCGTGATATCAAGTGAAAGGTCTTGTCACAAGGATTAAATCTGAGTATGAAAGCCCTAGTTTTAACTTCTCAATAATTTTTGTTCATGTTTGTATTTTTAAAGTAGGTCAATTTCCAAGGTAAAGGTTAAAGGGTTAATGAAGTTGGTATCCAATAAAGAGAATTTTTACATGTATAATATATGTGAAGAATGAAAGCTTTAGCACTAACAATTCAAAATTTATAGCCAAGGTTAACGTTTTTTTATAAGTTCAAAAATATCCAAGGTCAAAAGGTCAGAGTAAGTAAAATATAATGAAAGGACTTTCCATAGAGAATAAATATTTGAAGTATATATGTCCTGGTATCTACTGTTCAAAAGATATGACCAAAGTAATAATGTGGAATTTTGTCAAAAAGTTGGTAAAACCCCAAGGTCAAGGTCAAAAATTCAAATTTGGTGCTACCCCAAAAAGGTCTTGTCACAAGGAATACACACGTGAAATATAAATGTCATAGCTCAGCTAAATCAAAAGTTTTGGGCAAGGTTAAAGTTTTTTCGGACAAACAGACAAATAGACACAGAGACAGACAGACAGCTAGACAGATAGTCAGACGGACACGGCAAAAATTATATACCCCCAAAAGTTCGTTAACGGGGGCTGAAAACTAAATAAAAATTTACCCATCTGAAGTTCACTTCTTCATATTATTATTATTATATATATAGTGTCAAAATTTGTCTAGTAACCGATCTAGGAGCAAACATCAATGTAATGAAAAATAGAGTGGGTTTTGGATATTTTTCCTAGCTTATATCATTTCGGTTCATTTTCTTTCTGTCAATAAAGAACTGACCCACATCTGACATGAATCAACTAAATTGAAATGATTCAACTGCATCAACAACGTTATTATGATAAATGTTTTCTTTTGTTTTTTGAATAGAAAAAATATTCACACAGCTTTCTAAAGTTCAAGTTTAAAAACATGTGCAACGTACAAAGTTCATTGGGCATGGTTGCTTTAACCAAAAAAGCTCTTAAAAATAATGCAAAATTAATTTCACGCCATATTCAATTTTAGCGATTTTGGAATTAACTAATTTAAATTTAGAAAAAATAAATCCTCGCTAAAATCTCTACTAATACGGTATAAATGTTTGTTTGTTTGTTTGTTTTTTTTTTTTTTTTTTTTTTTTTTTTTTTTTTTTTTTTTTTTTTTTTTTTTTTTTATTTTTTTTTTTTTTTTTTTTTTTTTTTTTTTTTTTTTTTTTTGTTTTTTATTTTTGTTTTTTTTTTTGTTTTGGTAAAATTTTCTTTAAACTATGAACATGTAATTGATATTTTATACTTTTATACAGGATTTTATCAAATACAGCACTGTAAACTAAAGGACCCACGTACGCAATGTCTAACAAAAATGGTATGTATTCCCTATAAGAACTCTTTTATATGAGTGTGATTTTTTTCTTCATAAGACATTTCCTATCTCAGATAATAGTTTTCACTTAAACCCTGAAGAATTCTTAATCACGATGGGGCTTAACATTCTTTGTGCCGCAGGCATATTTATAATTTAAAGTTGGACAGAATAGGCCAAAATTTCCTCAAATTCATTTTTTCTGAAACTTTGATATTTTGTTCTAGGATACAAAATCTCTCATAATATATAATATGAAAGAAATTCAACCACACATAATTTGCCCACATTGTCTGAAATATGGCGTATCCGACCACCATGAGAAGACTGTGAAATCAGACACTCGACTTTGGATTGAGCCTTATTTTGGAATTATCATTTGATCTATTGCAAGTTTGTGTTATATTTTTGATAAAGATATAGTTAGTCATATTGATACTGAACCATTTGAGAAAAATTTTCGGTGAAATAGAAAAAAAGAGCGTCGAAATTGAAAATGCTCATGTAAAAATCCTACACTTAAAGTTTTCTAAAGGAAAGATGGATATTTCATTTTTTACTAAAAATTAACAGAATGATTAAAATGGGTCTCAGAATAAAATGTGTAAAAGTAAAGAAAATTAAACCAGTAGTTTCTGATATTTAGGTGATTATAAAAATAATTCCTAAAAATTCATTAGATGACGTCACAATGTTTGACTTTTGACCTCTTGATATGACCTTTATAGTACACAAAGAACGGAGACTCCTTATATGTGTGTCCAAATATCAGCCCTTTACTATTTATTGAACAAAAGTGACACAGAATTTTATATTTGATAGTTACATGCTTGTTTTTTGCACTAGATACCGTAAACACATTTCAAAATGTAAGCTGTCCAGTGACTAATATATACATGTAGGATTCTCTGACTTTTTCTTAAAATATGACGCAATCATGCTAAAACTTGTTATTTTTCCTATAGGATACATTCATTGTTGTCAATATAGTAATATTATTATTTTTATCTCCAGTATTTTTAGAGGAATTAGTGAAAATAGAATCCAAGGGTGTTTTGTACTACTTTATATACTACTTTAAGCGTCAAGGACCTATTTTTGGCCTACTGTTAACATGTAAATTACCTCAACAAACAAGATTTGTTTGTGAAACACTGATGCCCCCGTATGGCAACAAAGTGAGGATTAAACTTTTTTTAAATGAAGATATTATATATTGGTACCCAAAGTCGGGACTCCTAATTGGAAATACAATTGTAAAATATTAGGGACCTATCATCATCTGTTCCCAAACTATGGTCAGGGTAAATTTTTTTTTCATAGGTACATAAATCTTTTAGATCAAGGTCAGAAGATTAAGGTTATCGGTATCCAATGTGGTTTTGCCAGAAAGAATACAAATATGAAGTATGGAAGCCCTAGCTCTAACCGTTAATTTTTCTTTTCAAGAACTTTCACCCTTTTACCTTGACTTGGAGTTTGACTTACTTTTAAAAACCTTGATCATTACTTTTAAAGGGTTAGAGCTAGTGCTTACATACTTTAGATATTTAATCATATAACAAGATCTGTCATATGATAGCAAGACCTTTGACCTTGACCTTGGAGTTTGACCTACTTTTAAAAAGTTTAACATTGGCCATAATTTCTAAACTGTTAGGTCTAAGGATTTCATGCTATACAAATGTATTTTTTGTGGCAAAAACTTTCATTGGATACCTATAACCTCGACCTTGAAGATTTCCATCCGCCGAACCCGAACCCGACTGTATAAAGATGAAGTCATAAAAATAACATAACACTGATGTAGTATTACATGATTTTTTTTTCTTAAAAACTAACAAAGCTTCTAACTGTTGAATTCTCCTCCGAAATCGTATTCGATCTGCTACTAGGGCCATCCAGGGACTTCTCTGGTCTTCGGGGGGGGGGGGGGGGGGGGGGAGGGGTAATTCGTAGATTTGATTGAGGCTGGTGTTAAAAGTCACGGATTTCCTAGCCTGTGTGAAATTTCCAGGTATTTCATTCCGTATTGAATACATACTTTCTCCATCGCATGTATGTCCTGCCACAGTAAAATCACTTTGCCCGCTTGGGGATGAGTCAGGAAACTGTAAGGCTTTCCGAAATAACGGGTCAGGTTCAGTCCGTACCATTTCTGGGGCAGAATTGTTTTCATAGGTCGACATAGAAATGTATGGTAGCTAGTCTCCCCATACGACCCCCCTGACTTGAATCGCTGCCAAGTATTTACCTGTGTAGTCAGCATAAAAAACGTAGGTCTATCGTATTTTTGCACACGGCCCCCCTCACAGGTGATGCAACAGGTATAAAAAGGTAGGTCAAAGGTGCACACGGCCCTAAACAAACTTGAATCGATGCCAAGTATTTACCTGTGTAGTCAGCATATTTTTTGCACACGGCCCTAAACAAACTTGACTCGCTGCCAAGTATTACCTGTGTAGTCAGCATAAAAACGTAGGTAAAACGTGCACTCGCCCCACAGCAGGTATATAAAGCAAAAAACTGTAAAATTTGACAATCAGTCTTGCTTGACGCTTCGAACTTGACAGACGTGAAAAATATTATGGAAGAAGCAATGATAAATACCCCAGACAACCCCAGTTATGTGACACCTGAAGAATATGTAGGAGCCCCCTATAGTTTTCAAGAATACATGAATAAAGAAGATATGGGCATCTTAAATACAACTCTGGCTGGAATTGTCAACATGCTGTCTGGTCTTGACAACAAGGTGAGTGATCTTGACAACAAGCTGACTGATCTGAAAAGTTACATCACTAAAATGAAAGGAGGAAGCACTTACCAGAAAAAACAATGGGGATCAGGAGAAAAAAAGAAAACCAGACAGACGGATCCATGCTACATCTGCAAAGAGTTAGGGCATTGGGCCCCAGACTGTCTCCGAAAAAACAGGATTCGTGCTATAAGTGCGGGAAATCTGGTCATTGGGCTAATCAGTGTACAGAGAATGAGGAGGATCAACAATTGGTTAAAGAAATACAAAAACTGGAGAAAAAGCCTCAGGAACCCAAGAGGAAACTACCCCTGATGACCGATAAGGGACAGAAGAAGAAGAAAATGTAAATGTATTTTTTTCATTCTGAATAAAAATTTCCTTGTTATTGTGTGTTAGTGTTCTTTGTTTTCAGAAAATCCAGGTTTGTTATTGTTTTCAGAAAATCCAGTTTGAACCGGTTAGGCTAGACGGTCTAGACTGTGAAGCGTGACGTCATAATGACATTCTTGACTTGTTGCCAAAATCGTAGTAGCAGCGTTGTGTATAATGTAAACATAGTGTAAACACACCCCCGTATTTTAGGGGGCTATATCTACTGAATTGACCCAGCTATCCCCCACAGACCCCCCTAATCTGCACTCGCTTGACCCACCTATCCCCCACAGGGGCTGCACTCAGTTGAACCCCTATCCCCCCAAGCCCCAAAAGTGCACTCTCTTGAACCCCCTATCCCCCACAGCCCCAAAAGTGCACTCAGTTGAACCCCCATCTAGGAGGCTTATACTACTTCCGGGTTTCGTTCTCGCCAGATATCCTGCAATTCACATCGTTTAATTAAATCATTAAGTTCTGATACTGCAATATCTTTTCGTAGGGGCACGGGATGCCTATCAAGCTGTTTGTTTTGAGTGCAATTAAAATCACCGCATATAATTTTATGATGAGCTAATTCATCAAATTTTAGTGAGTTAAAATACTGCTTTTTTTTTAAATGTTTTCCATTCATTTTCCCACTTTTGTGTTTCTTTATCTGTCCCATGTGTTTCTTGTAAACAAATTATATCGTATTTGCCTTTACTCAACAATGAAAAAATACACATTCTCTTTTTCTTATCTCGTAGCCCGTTAACATTAATAGAGGCTATATGTAGAGTCATTTTAAGTGATAGAGCAATCTAAAATATACCACAAAATACGAATGAAAAAAAATATGTACAATATATATACAAGTAGTAATTATGTACATAGTGACCAATCTATCTAACAAAAGTCATATTGATCAGCTCTGTTACTTAGAGTTTACATTTTTTGTATTTTGCCCTGTTTTTCGGTGGAAGCTGGGGTATTTGAACTTAGCTTCCGTTTTGTAATGCTAGGGGTTCGAGGAGGACCGTTCGCGGAGCAATTGTAATTGCAGAAAATATCAGCAATTTTCTCGGCGCCTTCGCTACTGGCATGCACACCGCTGGGGTCATTGCTGTCATACAGTGCTCTAGTAGCAAGCCCTTGGTCATTTATGAATGAGCTGCATACGTCGATCACTGATAATAATTTATTTTTTTCACACAATTTTTCAAGGAATTTATTCACATGCCAAGTGTTGTCGTTCATTTTTTTAATCGCGGCGCTTTTTCCTTTCCTGGGTATGACTGCGCATACTGCAATTCGAGCTTCGGGATTTCTTGAATCTTGTTACACTGTAAGACCCGTCATAACATTGCCCGTTAAATCACCGATTTCGTCTTGACATCTGGTAACATCATTTGTTCCTAAATGAACGATTATATTTTCTGGAGTAGTTTCGTCCAATTTTTTCTTAGCGTATTCCAGTAATTGTGTCACGTTTTCGTAGGATTACCCAGAGACCGAGGCGTTTAAGATACTTGGCGGAAGCTTCTTAATGCGCTTGCAGTTCGACGCCCCCAGAATAACGGTATTGATCTGCTGATCGTCATGCGTGTCCGCTTCCGTACTGTCAGTTTCGCTTCGTTGGTCATCGTCGTTTAAAGCCTCTCTGCTTTCATTGATATCTGCGGCATATTTACCATACTTTTGTACCATTTTTTCTGAAAGTAACTCGCAGTTGTCCTTGCTGTGACCCTCTTCTTTACAATATCTACATACAGGTTCATTTTCAGTCTTTGGCTAAATGATCTTTTTTGTTACAATTATAGCAAATTGTTTTGTTTGTGGGTTTGTGTAGGCATTTGTACGAGGGGTGATCAGATTTTCCGCAATATGG